CGCATCCCAGGGCTTTAGATTATACCCCTAATTCTTGCAACAAAAACATGAGAGCGTCTCTACATAGCATCCGCCCTCCTTATTATCATCACAAATGCAGCATCCCAAAGTGACAATGAAGACATCCCCCGGAACACTGGTGAACAATGACGATAGTTCTTTGCTAATTTTTTGCAGCAAAATGCTTTCAAAATCACATGTGTTTGAATGGTCCCATCGACTGAACAAATGCTTTCTCCCTAGTAAAATCTCACCTGGGCAACATTCGGTAGAGAAGGAGATCGCTTTTCTTTTTTTCCTCCGTCAACTGTTTCGTTCGTTCTTCTACTTCGCCTTCTAATGTAGAAGCGTATTGCTCAAGCATATTGAACACATAGTCCATAAGGTTCCCATTCCTTAAAAGCATAAGCACGATAATTTTATATTTTTTCTAAAATTATAGCAGGTAAAGGTGTCAATAGTGGGGGAAAATGACGAAAAAAAGATGTCAAACTGTCAAAACCCTGCGAAAGAAAGCCTTTGTACTTAGTCCCAGAAAGCGATTTCGGACGAGTTTCCCGTTGGCATCGAGCCAATAAACGCTGCGGTAGATTCCGTTTCATATGTGTATCCGTACATATACCCAAACAGTACCGCAGCCGCTTTATATCAATCCCTTCCATTCATATTGTATTATGCAAATGAAGCGTACGGGTAGCAGCATTGATCGGACACTCGCGCGCACTGGCGCTGTGGGCGTCCGAGTCAGTATGCTGCGACTTGATAGGGATGCTATAGAGGTACCTTTCTCAGAAAAGGCGCCACGCAGCGGCTGGTGAGGGGCGCCAAATCCTGTCCTGCTAGGCGTACTAATCCTACACTCCTTAAGCGTGTATCATGCCCGCGCCTTCAAATAGGAGAACTACTAGACTGCAAACCCACTGGAAGCTTCACTTTACATTTATCAAAATATTGCGCGACGTCTCTAGTGAATCATCGGTAGAAAAGCTCAAAATGCTGTGAAAAACCGCCTGAGGAATGATCGAGGTAAGAAAAACGACCTTAACTAGGACCGCTATGTACACGGTGCATTACGATCGAACATGAATAACACATTGAACCTTTCCCACTTTCGCGAATTTCCACTGGAATACCAAAGATAACTTTATCGTACCATACATTGGTGCCTCTTATATTTTTAGTTCCACTGCCTTCAAGACGACATAATTTTTAGGCTGTTATTGTTTGATAACTGCTGTTTAACGCCGCAGTGCGCGATCCGAAAGTTATCACGAGAGTGCTGAGTTGTGGGCAGGCAAAGGCAATGGCACAATTAGCATTTAGGGTAAGAGTTGTCCCGATAGAGTAATAGTGAACGCAACCGCGCGGAAAGAGGAAGATGCGGGTTCGAAGCCTGTCCGCGTTCTGAATTTTGCCTAGAACTCAGAACTCTCGTGATAACTGTCGGACAACATAATGTCTAATTGAAGACAGAGTAACTAAGAGCGCTGTGGACTTGACAGGGAACCCGCATACACCTACTTCAAGCCCTGCTTGAAGTCCATGAACATGCGACAGCTGCATCGTGCAACTTCCGCTCAACCGCTTTGCCGACCGCCAGTCACACGCCTAATCATAGCCAAACGCGCTACTTGTGAGCGTCCCTCTCACGTCCGATTGTTCTCCACCTCAAATTGCGCGTTCCCTGCGAGATTTTGGTATTGACGCCAGTGCTGCACCTTGATGTTAGCGTGGGGATGGTCGGGAGAGGGTACCTGAGCATCCCAGCGCTCCAGCCCAGTTCCGTGCACTTTGGGCTGACAAAGAGAGATAGGAGACACGCTACTCCAATTGAGGACCCATTCACCTGCGTGGTCGGAGGTGAGTTTACAGCTGGTTTTGAAGAGACAGACAATTTTAGTATCATTGAAACTGTCCAGAAAAATTGATCCCAATCACCTGTTTGGATCCAAAGACTTTAAGTTCGACATCACCAAATCCACGGATGGTCTCTCAGATGGGCGCTCGGTCCAGCAGTCACGAATCAGGTGAAGCTGAACGATTGACGGTTAATGTTGTTGTGGTAGCTTAGAAAGGGATAAGGTCGCTGTCGCAATAAAGAGCTTTCTCGCCATGGACATTGAATGTACAGGAAACCAAAAACCAACAAAAACCAAGCCAAACCAAAATTCCAAAAAGTGGTTCAGCAAATGAGCAGGATGGTATTCTTTTTGCGCATTGCAAGAGACACAGCTGATATCGTAGCAATCAGTTAGGGTGGTGTCAAAAGGCATGGAATGAGCCCACCCTTGCTTTGTAGCATCCGTTATTTTCTTCCTAAATCAATCACTATAAGTAAAAACACAGCCGGAGCAAGCTCTGTCCACGCCTTTTGACAATGCAACAATGTCAACTATATATAACATTTGAAATTCACCGCTTTTCAGACCTAATTCACCACCTTTTAAACCAAATACATCACTTTTAAAAAAATTCGAAAAATTTATGAGAATTCGAAGTTCGCAAGAGTCCCTTCAAAGAAAGGGTGAAATCGGCCATGTGTCGATGTCCAGTCGTAGAGACAAAAAGTCACAGAAGCAGAAGTGATGAAACATAATTTGAAAATCTGTGTCCGCGCTGACAAGTAGGCGTAGCCGCCGGGGCGGGACTCGCTGTGGTCTCGCGTGATCTGCTTGATGGATTGCCCGGTCTAAACTAAAACGTGTGATGAATTTATTTGAAAAAAGGTGAATTTGGTTTGAAAAGTGGTGAATTCAAAGCGAAAGTGGTGTAATATAACATCGTTTTCATTACTTCACCTCTTATGCTACAGAGTTGAATAATACCCGAGCAAACGGGACAAGCAACATATTACTTAAAGAATTATTTGCAAGGGAATTCATAGGTAGATATCGCTCAATACTCAAAACTTACTAAAGCTGGATTGACTTCGAAGTCTTTGCTGACACTCAGAGAAGGGCGTGCTGGTGCATGCCCTCCTTTTTTCACCAAATAAAGGATCTCTGAAAGAGTGAATGTACTTGGTCTTGCGAACATTCGATAATGTGACACATTACTATTAAACTACGACAAAGTACTCGGCACTCCCTGTTTCGGCAAACTGCGAGGAGAAATGATTAGAACCCTTCATGCAACGGTTGCTTTTCGAAAGGATCCTCATCCTCAATACTCATTCGGTAAGGAACGTTCATAGTAGAACGTTAAGGGGTTAATGATGTTGCTCAAATGGTCCTTTGGGAATAGGACACTTCCTCCCGCTAAGAAATTTCTGGAAAAAAGACCCACAACCTTAGTGATCTCTCCGCTGGTGCAACCCTCCCTTTCCCATGCTAGCTACCATCTCACCGTTTCGCAACTTCCCACTACTCTTCCAATTTTTAATCTGAAAATTCTCCTTTTCTTCCCAAAAAGCTTTGGCTCTCCATTGCCTGCCCCTCTACTGTTGTAGTGATCAGTGGACCGACAAAAAAAAAGATAATGGGTTTAAGAATGATCTGTCAAGCAATTGTATAGTGAACGTAATTAGTGAATTCCATGTTTCAGGTTCAATAAAAAAGGATTGTTGATACCGTTGACAAAAGGATTATTTGTCAAAAGCTGAGAAAAGGGTTAAAACGAGTCTTTGCCACTGATCACTCCATTTTCGGGATGCAGCAGCAATTTACTCCCAATGGTCAATGATTATTAATGATATTGATCACTCTCAATGGCTCGATGATTACGAATTGTATTCCTCAACAGCATCTACGTGCGGCGTATGTATTTCTCAACAGCTTCTACGATGTACGGAGGCCGGCCAATGTACGGATTAGATTCTTATCCTCCCGGACGAATCTGGTACCAGTCTAGTAAACCTACGATGGTAGAATACTCGGTTGGCTTGGTAGCCCGCAGATCATACGCGCGCCACCTGCCATTGCACCTTTCCCCTTGTGAAACAAACATTTTAAGCATATGCAAACCTGACGCGTCCTCCTTCCGATTATCAATATCCCATGGAGGACTTCTCGAAACCAGTTGAGCACAAATAATTCCAAAACTAAAAATGATCGAATAAGAACAAGGCATGCTGTGGTGCCAGTTGTAAGTTACCGCCACCTCTATGCTAGTCCCTTTTTTTCTCAAAAATTTTCGAACATTTTTCTATTCATTAGTAGCTTAAGAGGATGTAGCTGCACGGCTACTTAGTCTTAGCTTGTCCGAGAACCAGGGTGAGAGCCGCTAGCTTCTCATTCAGAGCCGCGAGCACATATAAGAGGGTCACAAAGAATTTAGCCATTCCCAGTACTGTACGACAGCTTAAGAGGATTGTAGCTGCACGGCTACTTAGTTCACGGAACATCCTAGTTGCTTGAGATTGACTTCAGAATTTCCTAACTTAACCAATAGTTGAATAGTCTCGGATCGTTGCCAGCTCGAGTCGCATCATTTCACTTTGATTAGTTTGATATCTTCTTGATATACTGAGTGAGCGTATTTTCCTAGTTGATATATCGTTGTCGTCTGTTCCCAGAAAGTTTTCTTCTTGATGTTCTTTGTTTGTTGTTCTCTCACGTTTGCCTTATGCAGCGTAATAAACATAACATAAAGTATCTCCCACCAACATCTGTGCCTTTTGATGTAGTGCTAAAAAGTGAATGAATGCTACACCTAAAACAGATAAACAAGGTAATTGAAGTTGCCCATTTCGAGCGATTCTCCCCATCCTTTTTCTGCATTCTTATGGATAGTAAGGCTCAGCGAGTAAGGCTCAGCGAAGAATGAACCTCATCTGTGTCATTCATGCACGGAGGTCTACATTATGATGCAAACCATTTCAAAAAAGCTCACCATGTCAGTGAGCTCTCTTGTAAATTATGTCCTTGTAAACTAATCATTTGTCAATGTTCGCTAATCAAACCTATGTTGTTTGCATTTGTAATCCCTTCGTTGTCAGAAAGGTCCTTTCGATCGAGAACGATTTTTCTCAGGACTAAGAAATAGTTCCAAGTCGTAGCGGTCCGTGTAGGGGCGCACGGCGATCGCGGTGCCACGAGGAGTTATCTGATGGTCGATTTATCGAGGGGATTTTAGGGAAGTTTAAACCACTTTTTGAACACGAATATTACATTCGCATTGAGAGGAAAAGGCTGTAGCGTGCATCACGGGTAGGATACAGCATCGTGATGAGGTGGTGCCAGTACGCCCACCTCGAGGGAAGGTCTCGGTGGGCCCCTCCTCTTCTCACACCCACCTACCATTCTCCCATTTCCAAGCGTCGACCGGGGGAGGTGGGGGGGGAAGGGAGGAAATATTATAGTACACATGAAACAGGAAAAAAAAATCACGAAAGCCAGTCACGAAGGAAAGGAAAATTTTTTCACAACGCGGCAAATTAACCATGCCACCCACCCCCTGTACCCTGATCACGTGCATCTGTTCATCTACGTTCTCCTCACAAAGACCCAATGATAGCACTGCCTCTTCGAAAACTATTTTTCGAGCTCGTTTGGATGAGCAATGTTGATACCATTAATGAAGCAGTAGCAATGTTGATACCATTCTGCAACCTGTTCGCAAGAAGCAAAATAACAAGCCTAGCAAGGATTTGATCTCACAAGCCAATGCCGAAATCTTCGTAACTTCGCTTGCAAAGTCGCAAGTTTTGCTTGCAATTTTGAGAGCACTGTCAGTTGTTGTATCTCGGGACCTTTACAAATAGCCACTTCGATCAGAGGAGCAGCTTTGGAATGCCGACGGCTTGCCAACAGATATCAAAGAAGGAGCTTCAAAGCAGTGTTCAATGAAATATTGGGTGAAACTGAGCGATAACACCATTCTTCAAGTTTACAGAATCAATCAACTAGCGGCACACATGTGCCATTACCTGTAAATGTCAGCTTCTCGAGAACCATCAC